ACACTTTATTGCTCTGGGATGCTTAAATATCATAGAATATATGTGTGGGTGGGTTGGCCTGGTATGGTAGCCCGGCTGACTACCATATATACCACACTTGATTTCTTACAATAAATACTACTTGTCTCACCCTAGATTAAGACTATAAATATTTTAAGGTAAGTAATGAGTGCACTATGTGTGTATTGTACTTTTTTATTGTTTTTTGATGCCTGGTTCTATTGCTAACTTAATATATGTTAGTGTAAACTTGTTATCTAGTGTTTGTATGCATTTATAAGTGGAAAAAAAGGGTGTTCCACTTTACGGCGGTAGCCTGGAGCCTAACCTGCCGTATAAGTGGGGCCCTACTGTAGTAGTAATTGTGCATGTCTTCTTCAGTTTGTGTATTAAAATTAATATTTCATGTGGCAAAATTTTTTTTTTCAATACTTTGGGATGTCAGGAACGGATTAATTTGATTTCCATTATTTCTCATGGGGAAAATTAACTCGATTAACGATGAGCTCTCAGGAACGGATTAATATCGCTGGTCGAGGGTCCACTGTGTTTAAAACATGAAGAGAATGAGAAGCGAGAAGTCTCCAACTGATCACCACGAGTCACAGTGGTGTTAAAATCACCTAACAAGGTGGATGGCAGTAAAGATCAAAAACGCAATATCCGAGATACAGAATGCACAGGAGGGGGAAAGATGTAGAGAGTAAACTGTATACCATCTGTGCAAATAAATATGAACTGCAATATAATGCAGCAGAGATGAACAAAAACTTGTTGATATGGTATACCAACGTGCACAAGAAGCACACTTTCATTAAATGATTCATCAGGAAAGGGATCAGAAGAATGTAACAGCACATAGCCCAAAACAGGATAACAGCTGAACGAATTTTGGGCTCTTGTAACCCGACACATATTGGGGAAAACTGGAAGAGCAACACTTGGAGCTTTCCCCGATTACCCTTGAGGCCACAAATATTCCATTGTAAATAAGACATTATTTACAAAGACAGGTATGACAACAAGAAGAAGCTATAACATCTATGGGCTAATAGGGTCAGTGAAGTCAACATGTGGGGGCAATGCTAAGCATGTAAGAAAGGAGGAATCAGAATGCTGTGAAGGAAAAGTTTGTTGCAAGGGTTGTGAAAAAGAAAGGGTAGAAGGAGGCGCGTCCGTGTCCATCGAGGGTTTCGTCAATATAGTTGGAGACAGCATCAAGTGTCTCAGCGGATAAGAAAGAATGCCGATACCATGATTTCAGAGATAGGTGAGGTAGAGCAAGTAGAGATCGGGGAGACTATGGAGGAACCAAAGAGGTCTGAGAGGGGTGGGGAGTATGAACCTGGAGAGATGTGCTGGAGGAGGCAGAAGAGTCCTGCAGTGGAACAGGAGAGGAAGGAGGCTGGAAGGTAACTAGGAAAGAAGACTGGGGGAGGAACAGGAGAAGAGGGAGTGAACTTCCACCTTCGTGTGAGAGTTAGAAAGGGGGTGAGCACTAGGCACCGATGTAGAAGATAGATTCAACTTCACAGGTGACAGGCATGAAGAAGGCGTAGGCTTGCAAGGTCTCAGACTGAGAAACTAGCGAGCAAGATGGAGAAGTAGAAGTAGGAAGAGGCATGGTGTTTCAGTGGGTAAAACCGCAAAAGAATTAGAAATGGGAGTGACCCCAGAAGACACAATGGCAGAGGAGCTGGTAGGCAGGAGGACTGTCAAGGTTGGAGGTCTCCAAGCTACTCGAGAATAAGGAACATGAAGATTTCCCTGAAGGCAGAGCTGAGAGACAGCCATAGTGTAAGGCCTTCACTCTCCTTAAGATAACTGATTCCTCATTCATTATGATAGGCTTGACAATTGCATGAAAAAGAAGGATGAGATTCATTGCAATTGAGACAAGAGGGGGAAGGCTGCAAGATGTATCGGCATGATCTGCTGCACCGCAGACCGGGCACTCTGTCACGGATCTGCAGTATTTAGTGGGGTGTCCAAAGCTCCAGCAATTACGACACTAATGGGTAGTAGGGACTACTTTACAGACCTATAAGTGATGGCCTGCAATATAAACAGAGGATGGGAGTTCACAGCAGTCGAAGGTTAAAAGGGTGATGTTACTGGGAAAGCGCCTCTGCCTGCGAGCAGGCTGGACTTGTGTATCCATTTTGAGAATAGACAGAAAATCACTCTGTATAATGGTACGCGGTAAAACCACCGTACCACTGCAAGAATTGAGAGTAGTGCGCTTATGAACTATGACTGGAATGTTATCTATGGAAAGATCATGAGCTTGTTCTGAATTCTCAACTGTGACGACATGCGTACCGCTTCGAAGAAAGGATATATTTGGTGAACATGTCGTAAAAGAGCTTTACCAATACTATGATCAGAAAGATAATCAGTTGGAGATGTCAGCTGTAGGGAAAACAATTTAGTCCACTGTGTACTTGTAAACATGGTGCGAAGTGGGTGTTGCGTAGGTCGTTTTTGGGTAGACATCAAAGAATTGTCGTCAGTAGGTGGTCTGGAACGTTTAGGAGTAGTACCGTGGGCAGTCTGACCTGAGGGAGGTGGGAGATCCAAAAACCATCTCGCCATATTCGAGGAAGCTGATAGTGGTGCTTCTTGCTATTTTAAAGAAAAGAAAAGAAAAAAAAAAAAAAAAAAAAAAAAAAAAAAAAAAAAAAAAAAAAAAAAAAAAAAAAAAAAAAAAAAAAAAAAAAAAGGGACAGCGGAGGGACAGTCACTTGAAGGCAAGTTCTTCCCCTCATCTGAAAGGGCCTTGAGCCCACTAGCAGTGCAGATGCAGCATGGAACCCGTGCCATACCCTACCTTTCATGCCAGTAAACCAGTGCTCTAGGATAGCAACCTCACATCTACCGAGCCACTTCGGCAGACAAAAGAAAGGGCAGTCAGAAACCCACCACAAAGCATACCTCCTTTGGCTGTCACCTCCCAGAACCGACCGGCAGTCTCTGGAGATACACCCATCATCTGCAGGACACCCCACTCACTTCTCGGAAATCCGGGATGGGAGCAATGCACCTACAGATAATTCAGACTCCATGGCAAACTACACTACCCTTGAGGGACCCTACGGATTAGGATGAACCCCAGCACACTTCCCTCTACCTAGAAACCGTAATGCCAGAGGGGAGAACCCCAGAGACTACGAACGGAGGGTTGGGAGGGGGCAGGAAAGGGGAAAAAAAAGGAGGGGGGGATGGGGAGGATGGGATAGGGAAGGGAGGCTTGGGGGGTATTTAGATTCGGTCTGAGGAAGGAAACCAAAGGGTCTAATTCCTTAGACCAAGAGCCTCTTTGCCACATCAAGGAGCTCCCCTTGAAGAGGTGAAACTCTCAAAACTCTTCAAAAGATATATCAAATGTATTATCTTGTTATAAATTTACATTAAATTTTAAAAATTACTAAAGGAGTTTTCGTCACTATTTCTTTTCTAATCTTGCTCCACATTTACTACTCTGCCTGTGAAGATACATTTTGCAATATTCCTTTGACAAGTCTTGCATAGCTTGAAGTTATAACTTTTTTGTTTTCAGCTCTTTAAAAAAAAATTGATATTGTACTACTGTAGTTATATCTTTCAAAAAACCTAGGTCAAATGACTAAGATTCAGGTGAGAAGAATTATATGTAATGTACTGTACTGCTATGTTCGTTGAGGAAATGATAAATTAGTAAGTCATACAGCTGAGAAATGGAAGGTAATCAACTGATCTAAAAGGAAGGGTAGCTCCGATTCCTTAGATTTAAAAAAAAAAAAAAAAAAACCAGCATCAAGGCACCTTAGTGAAGGGAGTCAGAGGTAAACCTCATTTTTTTCTGATGAATATATTTCAAAGTCCTTCGGTCATTTTTCATAATTCATATATGTACATGTACAATACAGTGGACCCCCGGTTTACGATCAGCTCCCAATTATGTAAGTGTATTTATGTAAGTGCGTTTGTACGTGCATGTTTGGGGGTCTGAAATGGACTAATCTAATTCACAATATTCCTTATGGGGACAAATTCGTTCAGTAATGGCACTTGAACATACTTCTGGAATGAAATAATACCGTAAACCGGGGGTCCACTGTATATAAAATTTCAAATCCATTTTAATGCATATTTTGAAGTTTTTCTGTTTTGAGTTAGTTTTCATATTGATTGTAAAATGGTAAATATTTTAAAATTAACCTGTATACCCACAGAGCCATTAGAACCTGGCTGATCTGGCACAATATGCAGGAACTGGTCCAACGTCCTCTTGAAAATCTCTTTGTTCCACCTTCGTACTGGCAATATTTCTTATAGTGTATATCTGCTGGTACAAGGCTGACAATTCACAGACGATGCTGCAAACAGTATTCTTCAACTACAATTTGATTTATTCTACATTTCCTCCAGTACAATGTTATTTTAGTGTGGATTAGGTACATGATCCTTATTTTTTTTTATGTTCATCTTTACTCTAAAAAGAATATTCTGAATACTTCAGGACAGTCCCAATAGCTTATATGTTTTACCAAAACAATGTGATGCTTGAGGCTACACAACATACCAGTTTTCTTAATAAAGATTGTTCCTATTATTTACATTTTCAGACTCGGGAAATTCTTAAAATATATTTTAGCTTATTCAAGCCTGAAATATTCATCTTATCTGATTGAATAACTTAAATTCTCTTCCAATTTTTTTTTTAAATCACATATACACAATGATTATTTTGTCTATATATGCATGTGAAAGAAGAATACTCCTTTATATATAACAAAAGGAATCCAAGTAACTGTACAAACATCATACATGCAAATACATGTAACGTAGAAAACCATGTTTATCAGGCAAGCTGTGTATTGGTCAGGCATTAGCCTTGTGTATAGCAATAAGCTATGCTTTGACTCTTCCTTAAGAACTTTAAAGTTAGATTTCAAAAATGTTTGAATAACCCTTAAAAACTATGCATGTGTTAAACTCATCTGAATAAGTAATGTATATATGTTTCTTTATTTTATTCTAAATATCTTACAAGATGGTATTATAGTCACAATACAGAAAAGTGATTTCTATGTTTACCTCAAATGAAGTCGGGAAGTACATGTAATTGTTAAAATATAAAGGTACCTATATGGTACTGTGGTTTCATGTTCTTGGTATAACATTTGATTAAAAATAGTCTGCAGCCAATGCTCTCTTGCCTTTTATAAACTTAGGAGCAAAAGAAGAGCCAACAGTTTTTGTCTTCTTAAGCAATGGCTTTTTTACTAAAATTGGAAATGGAGAAGGTTTAAGTACCGGGGCCTTTGGCTGCTCACTGGCATTAAATGGGATCCTCGGACTAGCTCTCAAGGTACGTGCATAATCACTATATTCATGTTCCCTGTTTTTCTTCAGATTAATATTGATGGTGCGTGCCTTCTGAAAACTAGCCTTGGACAATTTCTGTAATGAAAAAAAGTTTAATTTTATAATTAGCCTTGTTGGCATACTACTACAGTAATTTAAAGTGTACTCTTAAAGTTGTAGCAAAACTATTACAGTACCATTCTTAATGAAACAAATTACTACCAAACCTCATATTTTATAAGTGCAGAGGTTACATAAATGTTTGAAATTCAAAAAGAAAAAAAAAAAAAATCCCTAAACAAATCCTTACAATTTGGTCATGAAAATTTTAATTTGAAATCAAAGTACAGGGACATTCAGCGAATACGCCTGATAAATATTTCAAAACTTGAACCCCACCTGTCAGATTCTCCATACTTCTCTCATTATGGTCCTAAATTTGTCAGAATGTAAGAAAGAAAAACAGAGTATTATAATTAACTATGGTAATTTTAAAAATAGCAGCACCACTAATATACTGTTATTCTAAATAATCACATGCTGTATTTTGATGATTACTTTTGAAAAGTGTTAATTTAACCCAGTAGTCCTTTCCATCCTTTATTTTCACAAAATAGAATTGTTTTTTATTTAGATATTCATACATAATGGTTTGACTAAGTGTATTCATTTTGTCTAAATACATTAGTTGAAAAAAGAACAATGTTCCAGGACTTTTAAAAACCACACGTATTTGTTAACATGGACAAAACTGGCAAATCATGTTTACAGTATATTATCACATCTGAAACAAAACAGCCGTAACATTTGTACAGACCAATCCATACCCGTTTTTGAATTATGGTAAGGATTTTTCACCCCATTTGTATTATTATTATTATAATCAAAAAGAAGCGCTAAGCCACAAGGACTATACAGCGCTGCAGGGCAGGAAGGAAGCGAGGGCATCAGGTGGCAAAAGGGAGATGGATGAGTAATAGGTTACGGATAACAGCGGGGCAGTGGATGGTGAAAGGGTAAAGGGCAGCAAGAGACTGAACTAGAAAGGGCTGAGGGGAGTGCGAAAAGTATCATCAGAGTTTGTGGAGTAAATCAGTCGTTGTCAAGAAGTCAATGAGAGAGTCAGGATTAAAGGAGGGTCCATCAGCAAGAAGGGAAGGTAAAGAGAGAGAAAGTAGAACGAAGACGACGTTGGAGGTAAATTCTGCGTGCTCGTTGATAGAGAGGGCAGTCTAACAGAATGTGGCTAATCGATACTGGAACTTGACACTGCTCACAGAGAGGAACAGGGTGCCTCTCCATGAGATACCCATGAGTAAGACGAGTGTGACCAATGCGAAGGCGGGAGAGAGTGGTCTCCCAACCTCGGCACTGATGACAAGAAGACGGCCAGTAACCTATGCTCGGTTTAACAGAATGAAGTTTGTTACCGAGCAGAGTTGACCAACGTTGTTGCCAACGGGTGTGAAGGTGGGTAGCTATTGCAGCAAAATAGTCCAGAAATGGAACACCTCGATAGGAAATTGGTAGGTCATGTACTGCTGACCGCGCAGCAGTGTCTGCCTGTTCATTGCCCTGTACGTCGACATGACCAGGGACCCAACAAAAAACAATATCTTTATGTTTGGTAGAGATACGGCGTAGCCAAAGTTGGATATGGAGAACTAGGGGATGAGATGTATCAAATTTTCGTATAGCCTGTAGAGCACTAAGGGAGTCTGAGACTACTACAAATGATGACACAGGCATAGATGCGATACGAATAAGTGCTGCAAGAATGGCATACAGTTCAGCAGTAAAATGCTAGCTGAAGATAGTAAATGTCCCCGCACGACGCTGTCCGGAAACACTGCTGGAAATCCGACGCCGTCTGAAGACTTAGAGCCATCTGTGTACACAGCGGTGTACACAGATGGGAGTGGAAGTGATCAAGAAAAAGAGAGCGGGAAGCCACCGTAGGCAGTTGAGCTTTCAAGCAAGGGAGTGAGAAAGAACAGACCCGAACAGCTGGAACTTCCCAGGGGGGTAGGGAAAAGTGAGATGCTACATGAACATATAAAGGTGGTAACTGAAGGGAAGACAAGAGTGAATGTAGGCGAAGAGAAAAGGGACGGAGCAAACAGGGGCGGCGAACGAATAAAGAATGTCTACTAATATCGGTGACCATTCTATAAATGGAAGGATTGTGTAGATCGTGAGAGCATACATAGTAGCGAAGGCAATGGGCATCACGGCGATCAGACAAGGATGGAACATTCGCTTCTGTATAGAGGCTCTCAACAGGGGAAGAGCGAAAAGCACCAAGGCACAAACGTAATCCTTGGTGATGGATAGAGTTAAGGCTAGAGAGAGTAGCAGGAGAGGCCGTGGAATAAATCTAGTCACCATAATCGAGTTTCGATAAAACGAGGGCTGAATGTAGGCGAAGCAGAGTTCGACGATCAGCTCCCCAGGAAAGATAAGCAAGGGTTTTAAGAAGGTTTAGCCGGCTGTGACAAGTTGCCTTCAGAGAGGTTATGTGAGGTTTCCAGGATAACCGACGGTCAAAGAGAAGGCCTAGAAACCTGGCTGTATCACGTTCGGGGATACGGGAGCCATAGAGATACAAAGGATGATCGGAGATAACAGAGCGTCTAGTGAAAGTAATTTGGTGAGTTTTGGTACTTGAAAATTTAAACCCATGCGTGGTGGCCCAAGTGGAAACACGGTCAACCGCATGCTGGAGAGAAACTGCAATAAGATGACAGTCAGCGCCTGCACAAGCAATAGCGAAGTCATCAACATAGAGTGATGACCAAATATTGGATGGAAGAACAGAGGTCAAATCATTTATAGCAAGGAGAAAAAGTGTTGTGCTTAGAACACATCCCTGAGGGACACCTTCAGCTTGGACGAAGTCCGGGGAAAGAACATTATTGACTCGAACACGGAAATGTCTGTCAGTTAAAAAGTTCTTAAGGGAAGGATGGTAGATTGCCTCGGAGGCCTAAGGAATGGGCCTGGGCCAAAATATTATACCTCCAAGTTGTGTCATATGCCTTCTCAAGGTCAAAAAATATGGCAATAACCGAGTGATTATTCGCAAAGGCATTACGAACATACGTATCCAAAGCGTAGTAAGGGGTCTATGGTAGAAGACCCTTATGAAAGCCATATTGACTAGCGGAGAAGACTGTTGTGTGTCTCTAAATACCACATTAAACGTCGATTTACGAGACGTTCCATCACTTTGCAAACGCACTAGTAAGAGCGATAGGGCGATAGTGGGAGGCATCATGTCCTGTAGTACCCGGTTTGCGGAAAGGGAGAACAATGGCAGATTTCCACAGCTGGGAAGAACTCCTTGTGCCCAAATAAGATTGAAGAGGTGTAACAGGACTAAAAGGGGCTGACCGATGTAAATGTTGTAACATACGAATATGAATGTCGTCAGGCCCAGCTGCCGATGATCGGGAAGCTGAGAGCGTTGCCCCCAGTTCTTGAAGTGTAAAAGGCACATTATAACTGTTCTTCTCTGAGAGAAGAAAAGTCCAAGGGTACTAACTCTCTGGCAGACTTTGAGGAAAGAAATGAGGGCATAGATGGAGCCCTCGGGAAATACGGACCAGATGTGTGCCAAGTTCAATGGCAACGTCGAGAGGGTTTGCTACATCAACACCAGCGACCCGTAGAACAGGAGCTGGGTCAGGAGAGTATTTACCACTCAATTTCCTCACTTTTTTCCAGACTGCACTCATAGAAGAAGCAGAGGTGATGGTGGAAACATAGTCTCGCCAACAAGTGCGTTTAGCTTCACGGATGACACGGCGAGTGATCGCACGCTTCTGCTTAAAATCAAGAAGTCTCTCAGCGGTTCTATTGTACCGGTACCTGCCCCATGCAGCACGTTTCAAACGTACTGCACGAGCACAAGCAGGAGACCACCAAGGCACGCACTTCTGAGAATGCCTGCCTGAGGTTTGGGGTATAGAATGAGAAGCTGCGGTATAAACTGACGTCGAGAAGATGTGTAGGAGCTCATCAATGGAGGATGAAGAAGGAACCTTACTAAAAGCAGTGAGGTGTGAGTGAAGATCCCAATTTGCCCGATCAAATTGCCAGCGAGGGCTACGGAAAGGTGGTGAAAAAGGAAGGAGAAGTAAGAATGATCGGAAAATGATCGCTGTCATGTAAGTCTGGTAGAACAGACCAGGTGAAGTCTAGTGCAGTGGAGGAAGAGCAGACTGATAGATCGATGCAAGAGAGAGTATGAGTACGAGGATCAAAATGGGTGGGAGTACCCGTATTTAAAACATGGAGGGGGTGAGAGGCGAGAAAAGCCTCCAACTGAATGCCACGTGAGTCACAATGAGACCCCCCCAGAGGAAATGGTGGGCATTAAAATCACCAAGTAACAGAAGTGGTGGTGGTAAGGATGAAACAAGAAAGGCAAAGTCTGGGATAGAAAATGCTCGAGAAGGAGAGAGATATAAAGAACATGTTGTAAACCACTTATTCAAGTGGATACGGGCTGCAGTGTAATGCAGCGAGGTATGGACAAATAGTTGACAGTACGGAATATCATTGCGTAGAAGAAGGGCACTTTTATTAAAGGTCCCATCTGAGAAAGGATCCGAAGAATACAATAAATTATAGCCTGAGATAGGTTGGAAAACAGCCGAGTGTAATTTTGGTTCTTGTAAGCAAGCACCAACAGGGGAAAACCTGGAAAGCAACATCTGAAGCTCACCCCGATTAGCCCTGAGGCCGCGGATATTCCACTGTAAATAGGCCATGATTGGCGATGAAGAAAATATCAGGAATCTGTAGGGAAAGGCACCTACGGACTAGAGGGGTTAGAAAAGTCAACGTGTGGTGGCATTGGAAGACGTTCAGGCAGCGAAGGAATGGAGCGTTGCGAAGAATGGGGTTGTGAAGATGGAGGAGAGGGAAGAGAAGGAACAGGAAGTGAATCAGTGTCCATTGAAGGTTTAGTCTCTGCAATATATTCTGAAATGGCTTCAAGTGTTTCTGAATATCAAAGATGTATGGGAGACCATATTGGAGATAGAAGGAGGAGGGTGAGTAAAGATTGGGACAGTAATGGACTGTACCAAAGTAGAGGGGGAGGGAAGAGTGTAAGGGACTGGAGATGAAGTGTGGGGGGGGGACAGAAGAGGCAGAAACCTGGGAGGTGGCAGAAGAGGGAGAAACTTGGGAGGGGACGGGGGTGGAAGGCATAGTACGAGGAGGAGGGTGAATCTCCACACTTGTAATAGAAACCAGAGAGAGGGGAAGAACTAGGTACAGAGACTGGAAAGGTAAAGTGTGGAGGTGGAAGAAGGGAAGGAAGGGGCAAAGAAGATTTGAGCAATGTGGATTTTTTGGACTTCTGAGTAGAGGGGCGATTGGTATTAGGTTTTCGTACGAGGTCTTGTCGATACTGGGGCTTGTGAGGAAGGACGCGAAGATGTGAGAACAGACTGAGTTGTAGTCGGGACGTCAGAACCAAGGACAGCAAAAGGATTAGATGCCGTAGTGGCTATGGGAGGGGTAACAACAGAGGAGGCTGCAGAAGATGGACTCCAGAAGTGGGGGGAAAATTTGGAAACACGAGAATAAGAAACACGGGGTAGTCTCCCTTGGAGGCGGAGATGAGTAACTGCCATAGCATAAGGGAGACCTTCTGCCTCTTTGAGGCAACGGATTTCACGTTCATTTAAGTAGACCTGGCAACGGCGGGAGTACGAAGGGTGAGCTTCATTACAATTAAGGCAAGATGGAGGTTGACTGCAAGATGTATTAGAATGGTCGTCGGCACCACAGACTGGGCATTCGGCCATAGATCTGCAATATTTCGCTGGGTGACCAAAACGCCAGCAATTTCTACATTGTTGTGGTGTAGGTATCACCTTTCGAACTTGTAACCGATGTCCTGCGACATATACAGAGGACGGGAGTTCTTGGCTGTCAAAAGTTAAACGAGCCACATTGCAAGGGTAACGTCTCCGCCCCCGGGCAGGAAGGACATAAGTGTCTACTTTGAAGATTGGGAGATCCTGGAGTTCCAGCTGTTCAAAAATGTCATTGCCACATGACTGGAAATTCTGTTGGACTATGGTATGGGGCAGAATGACAGTACCACTACAAGAATTGAGAGAAAGATGTTTTTCAATAGTGATAGGAGTAGTATCGATATTCGAAAGGAGAGAAAGATCATGAGCTTGGGTAGCATTCTGGACAGTGACGATGCGCGTACCGCTCTTGAGAGCATGAAATGAAATATCTCTGCCAACATGACGCAGGAGCGCTTTGCCAATACTATGGTCAGAAAGGTAGGCAGAAGAAGAAGTCGGTCTTAAAGTAAAGAATTTAGTCTATTGTGTGGTCCGAAACTGAGCGTGGAGAGGGAGTGCTTGACGTGTCGGTCTTTTCCGAGTAGAATGGGAAGGTAACGAAGGAGCATCATCAGGAGATTGACGTTGGCGTTTTTGGAGTAGGACCGGAGTTGGTCCGGCGTGAAATGGGCGGGCGATTCGAAAATTGCCGTACCGTAGAGGGAGAAGCAGGAAGCATAGTCAAAGGAGAGCGGAGTTCAGACTAATCGAAGGAGTTAGTCGAAGCCCCGGTACCTGAAGCAGGTGAGGAAACAGCACCAGCAAGAGGTACAGGGGCATCAGGAGTGTCCGAAGAGTGGTCTAAACACAAGGCAGGGTCAGAATGGGGTGCGGTATCAAGAAGGGGCCCGGGGGTAGTGGGTTCATGGATTGGGTTCTCCATGGTTAGGTTACTCCTTTGCTTTTTGTTTTTAAGAAAAAAAAAGAAAGAAGAAAAGAAAATAAAAATAAAAAAAAGAATAAAAAAGGGGGGAGCGGGGAGGAATAGTTCCCAGGAGGAATGAAAGGGCCGGAAATCTCCCTCCGCGCCCAAGAGGACCTCAGCACCGCTAGTAGCGCAGATGCAGCATGGAACCCGTGCCATACCCTACCCTTCATGCCAGTAAACCAGCAATCCGGGATAGCAACCTCACATCTGCCGAGCTACCTCGGTGGACAAAAGAGAGGGCGACAGGTGACCCTGGGTGCTGAACAT